CTGCCCCGGCCCCCTCCGCGCCGGCTGAGCCGGCCCCCACGCCGTCCCCACCGCCTAGCGCCGGCCTGAGTCAGGGCCCTTCCGGGGGGCTTCCGATCCAGCAGGTGTGGTTTCCGCCGTTGCCCTCTCCGATTCCGGCTTGGCTCACCGGAACGTCGCCACCGCCGGTCTACACGGAGGCCGGAGACCCGTCGGTGCCCACCCTACAGTTCGGCGCACCGTCCTCGGCTCTTCGCATCGACGAACCGGTGGGCGCTGGCGCATCCACCCTGACACCACCTCGCTTCGCCCGGATCGACTTTGCCACGTATGATGGCTCGGAGGACCCGCTTAGCTGGTTAAACCAGTGTGATCAGTTCTTCCGGGGGCAGCGCACACCGGCGTCCGAGCGCACTTGGCTCGCGTCATACCACCTCCGGGGTGCCGCCCAGACATGGTACTACGCCCTCGAGCAGGACGAGGGCGGCATGCCCCCTGGGATCATTTCCGCGAGCTGTGTCTCCTTCGCTTCGGACCACCACGGCGCGACAGCCGCTTGTCCGAGCTGGGCCGCCTACCCTTCACCTCCACGGTCCAGGATTTCGCCGACCGCTTCCAGGCTCTGGTGTGTCACGCATCGGGGGTGACGACACTACAGCGGGCTGAGCTCTTCGTCGGGGGCCTTCCCGACCACATCCGCGTGGACGTCGAAATGAAGGGACCCCAGGACCTGCAGACGGCCATGTACTACGCTCGGGCTTTCGAGCAGCGCGCCCAGGCCTTAACACGGCCCGCACCACCTCGGGGGAGCGTGCCTCCACGTCCACCGCCGGCCGCGCCAGCTCCTTCAGCCGCCTCACCGGCGGCCACTCCAGCCGCGACGCGGCCCTTCCGGCGCCTCTCGCAGGCCGAGCAGCTCGAGCGCCGCCGCCTGGGGCTGTGCTTTAACTGTGATGCGCCCTATGCCCCGGGCCATGTCTGCCCACGCCTCTTCTACTTGGAGACAGTCGACAAGACAGAGGACGCTACCACCGACGATGGACTCGGCGACCCAGCCGCCGCCGAGGTCGCGCCGGCACCCGCGCCCGCGCCGGCTACGGCCCTTGTCGTCTCCCTCCATGCATTGGCCGGCATCCGCAAGGAGCGGACTATGCTTATCCCGGTCACAATCCACGGCGAGACTCTGGTGGCTCTCTTGGACACAGGATCTACACATAACTTCCTACCGGAGGCTACTATGCGGCGCCTTGCACTACAGCCTTCGGGAGGGGAGCAGCTGCGGGTCACCGTCGCTAATGGCGGCCGCCTCCGATGCCATGGGCTCGCTCGGGACGTTCCCATTACTATCGGCAACGAACACTTCACCATCACGTGTGCCGGCATCGACTTGGGCTGCTTCGACTTCATCCTCGGTGTCGACTTTTTGCGGACACTCGGTCCCATCCTTTGGGACTTTGACGCCCTGACGATGACCTTCTAGCGCCTCGGCCGCCGCATCCAGTGGGAAGGCGTTGGCGGCACCCCGGCGTCACCCCCACTCCAGCTAGCGGCGGCCACCACGGAGGCCGAGCATCCGCTGCTGGATCACCTCCTGCAGCAGCACGGTGATCTTTTTGGGGAACCCCAGGGCCTTCCGCCGGCCCGGGTCTACGACCACCGTATTCATCTCCTGCCAGGCTCGGCTCCGGTGGCAGTACGGCCCTACCGGTACCCTCAGTTGCAGAAGGACGAGTTGGAGCGGCAGTGCGCCATCATGCTTGCCGCGGGCATTATCCGGATATCTACATCACCCTTTACGGCGCCGGTCCTCCTCGTCCGCAAGTCGGACGACACTTGGCGTTTCTGCATCGACTACCGCGGCCTTAATGCTCTCACACTTAAGGATAAGTTTCCTATTCCGGTGGTCGATGAACTCTTGGATGAGCTACATGGGGCGCGCTTCTTCACCAAACTGGACCTCCGGTCGGGGTATCATCAGGTGCGCATGCATCCCGACGACATCGCCAAGACGGCGTTCCGGACCCATCACGGCCACTTCGAGTTCTTGATGATGCCCTTTGGCCTCTCCAACGCCCCGGCGACATTTCAGGCCTTGATGAACGATGTCCTCCGGCCCTACTTACGTCGGTTTGTGCTCGTTTTCTTTGATGACATTCTTATCTACAGCGCCTCCTGGGCGGAGCACCTCCAGCATGTGGCCATCGTCTTCAACGAGCTTCGGGCGCATCATCTTCATCTTAAGCGCTCGAAGTGCTCATTCGGGACACCTTCGGTCACTTACCTCGGCCACGTCATCTCGGCCGAGGGTGTGGCCATGGACGCAGACAAGGTGGCGGTCGTCGCCGCCTGGCCAATTCCGCAGTCTCCGCGGGCTCTTCGCGGGTTCCTTGGTCTTGCCGGGTACTACCGGAAGTTCATTCGGGAGTTTGGCCTCATCGCGGCCCCGCTCACGCGTCTCCTCCGTCGCGACGCCTTCTCTTGGGATGAGGAGGCCACTTCCGCATTCGAGGCCCTCAAGGGGGCCCTCACGACGGGACCCGTACTGCAGATGCCGGACTTCGACCTTCCCTTCACCGTCGACTGTGACGCCTCCGGTGCGGGGTTTGGTGCGGTCCTACACCAAGGCGA